GGATAGAATATGATTAGTTCTTTGATTAAAAAATAAGAAAAAATAGAGAAAAATGAGAAAAAAGATAAATAGCAATGGTGGCCGTAGAGAGGTGCCACATCATCCTTGCCTACATTTGGCTTTATATTATATATAGATTATTTTACATTTAGGGTGTGTTTGATGTGAACAAAGTTTTTCTTTTTTTTATGTTCGGTTGGTTAAAACTTTAAAAAAAATACTTTTTTTAGAAAAACAAGCAACTTCTTGAAAATAAGAAAAATAATTTATTCAATGAAAGTAGGAAAAACAAGTCGTATTGCCTTCTTTAATTTACACCCTCACAACTACCCACCCTACCCTATACAGTAGCTCCGCCCCCTACCACACCATACGCCAATCCCCACCCACGTCTGTCACCTATCTTGACCCCATCCTTCATAATTTTGTCTCATATGTATTCAAATTAAATATTTGTAAAATAATTATTTTTTTACTTGCTTACCAAACACAAGAAAATAAGTATATCTAAAAAATGCGCTTATTTTTTGAAATAAATATTTTTTTTGTACCAAATACATGCAGCTTATTATGTCGTTTTAGCCTATTCTAAGTGAGATTAAGGGAAATTTAGTCAACCTAAGCCTTCTCATTCACGCATACACCCTACTATGTCGTTTTAGCCTATTCTAAGTGGGATTGAGGGGAATTTAATCAACCTAAACCTTTCCATTTATGCTTAACACCCAGAAATGCCTCAGTTCAAGGAGTCAGACTAAGGCTTCCACTCAAGATATGTCAATTTCATTAATAGATATTCTTTCGCCCATTGAATCCCAGAAAAAGCTCTATATTTTCAAATAATCAATATTACATAAATTTTTCAAATCTTACTAACTTGTTTTATCTTCAGTATGAATGCATTTAATTTTTTGATAGAATTAAAAAGTTTGATATATATAGATAATTATTAAATACAGCTTGCTTATCTTCTGACAACAATTACTAACTTGTCCAGCACTAAATCTGTATTTATTGTACGTAGGATATTATATAACTTTGAGGTCCAATATGATTAAAAGTCAATCCACTTGATGCGTACAATTAGCTCCTATAAAAAGAAAAAAAAAAAAGGGAAAATATAATTGGCAAGAAAGATTTTTGGCACGAAATGACATGAGCAACAAAAATCAGATATTTTCGTAATTTTGGTGAAAAGTTAAAGGCATTTGGATAAATTCATTTATTTCGTGTACCTAAATTACCCTCAAAAGTAAAACCACTTTTAATACTTTTAAGAAAAATTTTATTATGTGTGAGGCACACTTATTACGTGCCAGACTATACTTGTATTAGATCCTTTCATATTTTGCCAAGTGGAAATTGGGTCCCACTAAAAAGAAGAAGCTAAAACGCTCCATTTCTTTATATTTTTTCTCCAACTCCATATCTTCTTCTTCTTTTCCGTTTCTTTTTGTAATTTTATTATTTTTCGTATTAATTAGTTTATTTATCAAATGCTGAAATTTAATTATTTTTAGTAGAATTAGCTGTGATTTAGTTTGGATAAATTTTTATTAAATAAATTAATTTGATTTTTGAAATGTTGAAATTAAGTTAAATTAATTAAGTCGATTTTTTTATCACTTTAATTTTTTTATTTTTTTTTCTATTTGGTTTTGGTCGATAATTTGATTTTTCAAACGTTGAAATTAAGTCAAATTAATTAAGTCGATTTTTTTATCACTTTAATTTTTTTATTTTTTTTCTATTTGGTTTTAGTCGATTAGAATATATTTGATAATGTAAGAAATTGATCTAATTATATATAGGATCCTTCAAAAAATGTATGCATTATCTAAGAATTTAATTATTTCTGAGAAATATAATAAATTTGTTTCAACGATTTTATTTTTTTACAAAAAGTTAAAAATTTAGTTGTGATATACTATGTCTTGATGATGTTTGATTTAAATAAAAATAATCAATTAAAAAGACATAAGTTATTTTGAACATGAAAATTCATTCTTGACATTCTTAAAATAAAAATATAAATTAAAATACGAAGTAAATGCAAATAACTTGATTATTATAAAGAGAAAGACCTGAATAGAACATAAAAAAAAAATTAAAAATATTTATAACATTTTTTTAATTTTAATTTTTTTTAATATATGATGAAAAAAGTTATATATAAAAAATTAATGTATAATCTTTTATAAACAAACACAAAACAAAATATCTAAATTCTCATATTTCGTATATATCATTCTATAAAATACGTACAGGAAAATAAAAGGTTCAAGAAATTAATACGCAAAATTTTACGATTTTTTTATTTGTAATTTCATTACCTTCAATTTCTTCCATTTCATTCAAAAATTTATTCGAAATTTTCTCGCCACATTCACTTTATTTTTTCTCTCAAATAAATAATACCGTAAAATATGCATATTAGATATTTTGGACAAGTCTTAAAAATTCTTTATAACTCTGACAATTGAAGCAACGTAGAGGAGGAAAAAAGAAAGTCGAAGGATTTTTTTTAAAAATGAATGAAAAGAGTAAGAAGATGAAAGAAAATGAAATAGTTAAGGTATGAGTCCCATTTGTACATTTGACAGCCAACAAAAGCCTCATATAAGTGGTTTTCTTTTTTGAAGGGAAATACAAGTGGTTTTGAAGCCAAAGGGACATTTTCGTTATTTAGCCGTGTCTTGACAATTCGTGCCAAAATTCTGTCTTGCCAATTAGCAGTGCTCAAAAAAAAACTTGGACATAAATCTCATCACTGGAAAATTAAACACGTATGCTCTATGAATGCTTCAAATTTGTTTGTCCTTTTTTAACTTGAAATGAAGTTTAAGAAAAATAAAATAATTGAATCTTATGCTCTTAATAAATTAAAGATATATATGTAGATCTCATACTGCCCTTAACCATGTCTAATGTAGATAGTTGTAACTGAAAAAATGTTTAAAAGGAAAATGAGATATTCTTTTTTAAATAGACTAAAAAAAATAGGATAAACAATTGAAACAGAGAAAGTATTGGTTATCATCACTGTTGCAGTCAGGGGCGGATCTTAGCAAGGGGTTCACCCGAGCTTCCTTGACAAAAAATACACTATATAGAAATATTATTTGAATTTTTTAATGTGTATATATAGATTTAGAACCTTTCTTGAACATAAGATTAGAGGTTGATTTAGTGGTTTAGACATTTTAAAATTTACTTTGGGGTTCGAAGTTCAAATTTCAAGCACTATACATTTTTATTTTTCGAATCTCCTTAATGAAAATTATGCATCCACTATTGACTACAACAACACTAATTGTCTCATCAGTTAATTTGGCATTTTAATAAATATATAGTTGGTGATAGTTTAAATAAAAAATATAAATATTTTTTTTGGTTTTCCATCCGGTGTCCGGAACCCACATTGGAACTCCGACTAAATTTGGATTGCGCTCTGCGGGACCTATTCGGGGGTGGCACCCCCAACATGATTTTCTCCATACCCAGGGCCCGAACCCGAAATCTCTGGTTAAAGGTGAAACACTTCCACCAGTGCACCACAACCTGATAAAAAATATAAACATTTGATTGTTCAAATATAAGATTTGCGAAAATAATAATATTTTATATATGTTTTTGACGCACTATTATCTTTTATTTATTATATATGGAGTAACTAATTATGGCAATACAGTTCAAAATAGCTACCCCTTGGCCTACCATTAAATAATGACAATACAGTTCAAAATAGTTACCTTTGGCCGACCTATAAATAATGTCATACAGTTCAAAATAGTTACCTTTGGCCTGCCTTAGGAACAACCTCTATTTATTGATTAAAAAAACAATTAAAATGCTTACTCTTTTTAACATAATAATTGTACAAGGGTCATTTGCATTTTGCCCATTGATCTTTAATATTTGCCTCTCACGTTAAATAATTTTTTTGGAAGGTATAAATTTATATTCTTGCATCATAATATTCCATAAGTCATGTACCACATTTTAAAAAAACATATACCTTGCTAGAATAAGTTTGATTGCTAAGGGTTAAAATTAAAGATTAATGTATTAAAAAGGCAAATTATGTAATTAAATACACTCATACTCCTTAATAGAATCTATTAGAACTCGTATTTTCTAGTTTGTTCAGAATACAAAACAGCCCTTTTGAGTTTTAAAAAATAATTCATTTTACGAGCAGAAAAATATTCCATTAATCAAGTCATACCAAAGAACCGAATTAGAAAAAAATGAATTGAGTCAAACTAATTCCGTTTGATATTTTGTACATACTAACAAAGATAACGTAATAACATTAATAACATATCCAGTGAAATCTCACAAGTGGATCTATAGAACTCATATTTTATAGTTTTATTCGAAAACAAAAAGCTAAAAAAATAGCCCTTTTGAAATTAAAAAAATAACTCATTAATCAGCTCACACTAAAAAAAAAATATCATACTAAAGAACCAAATTAGAAAAAAATGAAATCGAGCCAAACTAATCCAGTTTGATATTCGGTACAATATATTCAGTAAAATTTCACAAGTGAGATCTGAGTAAGGTAAAATATACGTACCAAATCTTATCACTACCTCGTAGAGATAAAGAGATTGTTTTCAAAAGACATTCAGCTACATACTAATGAACTTTGAAAAAATCAAACCGAAAAACTATAATACTCGTCTTTAAATCGTAGATAACGCATAATAGTAATCCTACCTAACTCTGAACGAAGTAACCCTACTTGTTTATTCTTTTGCATGCATGCATTTTTCTATCGATCTAACCAACTAATTTATATAAGGCCACTTGCTTCTGACCACAATTAATAATTAAATTGTCTAGGGTCTACTCTCTGTGTATGACTTTGATATCCACATTTAAATGTCTGTCCGTATAAGCATATAAACACAAATATATGTCCTATAAAATTAGAAGAAAAAAAAACTAGACATACATCATCACAAAAAAAAAAAAAAAAAAAAATCTCATCCATGAATGCTTCAAATATATTATTGTTGATCATCGTTGCACAAATTGTTTCATTAAATTTAGCCTTTGATAAATCTCAAAATGTTCTCTCAAAATCGAAAATTATCCATCTTAACGGAGCTATTGGACCAGAGAGTGTTGCGTTCGATCCAAAAGGAGAAGGTCCATACATAGGAGTAGCCGATGGACGCATTCTCAAGTTGCAATTAGGGTCACAAAACCGATTAATTTGGGCTGATTTCGCGGTTACTTCTTCTCATCGAAAGAATTGTACCTTACCATTTGCTCCTGAAATGGAACATATATGTGGAAGGCCATTAGGCTTACGATTCGATACAAAAACAGGGGATTTATACATTGCTGACGCGTATTTAGGACTACAAGTTGTTGGATCAAAAGGAGGACTAGCAACGCCATTAGTTCAAAATTTCGAAGGTAAGCCTTTAGTCTTTACAAATGATGTTGACATTGATGGTGATGTGATTTATTTCACGGATACAAGCACCAAGTATCAACGTTGGCAATTTCTCACATCATTTTCGAATGGTGATACGACTGGTAGGCTAATGAAATATGTTAAATCAACTAAAAAAGTAACAGTTTTATTAGGTGACCTTGCTTTTGCAAATGGTGTTGCGTTGAGTAAAAATAGATCTTTTGTACTAGTTACTGAAACTACAAATTTTAGAATTTTAAGGTATTGGCTTAAAGGTCCCTTAGCAGGAACACATGATGTATTTGTTGAGTTGCCCGGGTTCCCGGACAACATCAGAATAAACCCTAAAGGGGAATTTTGGGTAGCCCTACAAGCAATAAGATCAGTATCAAGTATTTCAGATTCGAAATTTGGAATGTTACATTTCACTCCTCAGCAAATGGACGAAGGGGAGCTGCACCCTACCGCCATCAAGTTAAGTGAGGACGGGACAGTTTTGGAAGCTCTAGAAGATGTTGAAGGCAAGACATTGAGGTCTATAAGTGATATTGAGGAGAAAGATGGAAAGTTATGGATTGGTTCTGTTGTGATGCCTTTTTTGCGAGTTTATGGATTGTGAATATTAAGTATCAGACCACTCTACTAGTAAATTTAATAATTTCCTTTATTAGGTGATATTCAGTTGTGTGTGATATAAAATAAAAAATTTCCAATTTGAGTAGTACTTGCTATAGTAGTAAGTAGTAACAAACATTTGTAATATGATTTTTGTCATTTCTTTCAAATGTTTGGTGATATAATAATGTTTTTTTTTGTCAATTTAAATGAGATTGGCATAAAGAAGTTGATTCCAAGTATCAGGTACACCAGGTAAACACCAATGTGTACAATCCATGCCTTTATATCTAGGGTTTCCATAAATAGAAGGATGACCATCAACTCTATATTGTGACATTTTGTTGAGTTTCAACATATGTATTGGCTTTCTTGTTTTGCTCAAAATTTTCCCCAATAATATGTCTGCTTCATCTTCACCTCCTAAATAACTTAGTTTTTTTACTGGATTTTGTTCCCCTTTGCATTGCATTTGGTTGGGTTTTTTACCCCATTGGGTGCCACTGTAAAAAAATACATGAATTAGTATATACGTTGTAATTCATATGACATTATTTGATTAGACACGAATTTTAACTGAAATCTTACTTGCGATGATCAGGGGAGATGCCTTGAAAAAAGACCTTAGTTTTCTTGAAATTAATGTTGTTGGAAATCCATTTACCCCATGTTATCAAGGCTTTTTCATAAGCTTTTAAACGATCCATATCTTGATGTAGGACTTTTCCATCGCGAATCAAATCCCATCTGCAAAATTAGTGTCAAGTTTAGTAGAATATATAATTTGTATAGAATACGAACTAGGGTGAACAACAATAACATATTCATTGAAATTGCATCAAGTGGGATCTGGAGAGGGTAGAGTGTTAGATTGTACACTGAGCTTATCATTATTATCTCGTAAAGATAGAGATGTTGTTTCTGAATGACCCTCGGCTCAAGGAGGTCAATCATATAGATTTTGATATGAATTATGAGGATTATCATATTCTCTCTAAGTCTCCATCCCGATAATAATGAAGGGGTTCAAAGTAGGCCACAATCAACTAATATAATTTTCGTTCTCAATTCTGACATTAATTTTTCTAAATCAACCTCTTTACCTCACAAAGGTAGAAGTAAGGTTCACTGTTAAAAATTGGGTCAAAGTCAAGCTAAAACCGACGGATATGGTCCGTTTTGCTAAATCGATGAATTATGCATCGTCAGTTTTGACAGGGTCAGTTAAAACTTCAAACCAAGGACAACCAACTCTGTCAGTTTATGAAAAAAAAAAAAACTAGGGAATGCATCGGTTTTTTTAAAAAATAAAAAACTATTTGAAAAATTATAATTTTTGCGTGAAAATAAATTTACAAACATCCGTCAATTTTTTATTAGTTTTTTTAAAAAAAAAGGGAAAAGGGGCTAAAAAATACTCTAACTTTGGCTGAAATTGTTGATACGATACCAAACTTTATGGAGGACCTTTTACCTCCTGCACTATTTAATAGTGTATTTTAAAGGTATATATGTGTCCACGTGGACACATTACTATTTATAATGATGCAATATTTATGATGTCCACGTGGACACATATATACCTTTAAAATACACTATTAAATAGTGTAGGGGGTAAAAGGTCCTTTCCAAAGTTCGGTATTGTCACAACAATTTCGATCAAAGTTCGAATATATTTCAGACTTTTTTTCCAAAAGAAAATGTCAGACAGTCGATTTTCTCTCAAATTTTTGGACCCACCCTGTCTATCGATATTCTATCAATTTTTTGATTTGCGTATATTCTACCTTTTTGAGACTTGTTTTATGAAATCACACTAATATGTTGTTCTCAATTTAGACATCAAATCTCTAATATTTTTTCATAAAAATAAAACTTACGGTTGTTTTCTTCCAGTATGAAGCCACCAATGCCAAGTATCAAATATCAAAATGTCATAACCAGTCCACAGCTTTGAAGAAGTTGCAACTGAGTCCAACTTTAGTACTCTTTTTGATTTCTCCTTCACTATGTCTACCAGCAATGCATTTCTCACATAACTCAATCTCACTTGCTTTGACTACATAAATTCAACAATATAATAATAATTTAAAAAAAAACATCATTTGAGAGATTATTATAACTATATCAATTTGACATTGACAATATTAAAAGACAAATGTGAGAAATTAAGCGCAAAAGAGGATGATAAATGATTTGTTAGTGACGGATTTAGAGCGAGTTAATTAACAGGCTCAATTGAATCTACTATTTTTTTAGCACGAATCAGTTATATGTGTATATCTTGAAATTTTACAGTATTAGTCCTTAAAGTATCAATAAATTTCGATATTGATCCTTGTGGTACATATTTAACATTTGATTAATTGAAATATAAATTTTTTGATTCATCTGTACTCCCAAATTGATAACCCAATAACAAAAAAAAAAAATTGTTACAATATTATTAATTCAATTACTTAATACAAATAAATTAATAATATTTATTTTTTTGAATCTTCACAATTTTTATCTTGCGTTGCACTTTATGAGGTAAGGTCAAGTCCCTTTCATGTACCTTCCTCTCATAAATTCAACTCCCCCCAATACATGGGAAAATTTCTTTTTTTATATAAAATAAATAAATGAGAATCTTCACAATTTATCCAATTATTATGTGTCAAATCATTTAATTACACATATTATATGTTAAATTTGCATCATTGTCTGTATTGTGTTAAATTTATAATAATTTACTCACTTATTTTCTAGTTAATTTACCATTTATTAATAACTATCATCATTTGTCAAATAATAATACTATATACTAACAATAACATATTCAGTAAAATCTCACTACGCCAACCTTATCACTATCTCAAGGAGGTAGAGAGGTTGTTCTCGATAAACCCTCCGCTCAAGTGCATCAAACTCAAATGAAGAAAACGAAAGCAATGAAGAAGAATAGTATACACTTAACAAATCATATTTATTACGAAATCATTAAATTTAAATTCTGAATTCACTTACGGGTATTGAAAAGGTTGACATGAGTGGTCCATTTCTGGTGACAGAGTAATTAAGACTTGGAAAGGCAGAATGAAGCATGCAAGCCAAAGATTGCCATTGATTCAAGCTCAATGAATCTCCCACGAATAATACCTTCTTCTTTTTAATTCTCCTCATAAAGTCATTTCCATCCCACCTATGTGTATATACAAAAATTAAACTCAAGAAAAAAAAATTACTGGTAATATTTTCATGGAAAGACAGACATATATATATATGGAAAAGTTACATATTTGGTCACTCAGCTCGCCGAAAATATTTATAGTCGTTAGCCAATATAAATATATTTTAAGAAAATATTTTTACTAATGTTTCATGGAAAGACATATAACAAAATAAAGAGGGAAAAGTTATATATTCGTCGTAAATATTTATAGTGGTTAGCCAGTATATATATATTAACACAAATTGTACATATATTATACATTTTTCAAAAAGTTTATGTGTTGGTGCATATTTAAGTTATTTTCCCATTTTTTTTAAAAGGGACTTTTAACACATTTAATCGCTTGTTCAAAATAATTATAATGGCTAATTAAATATATAAAAGATATATATTTTTATGGTTATTTTAATAGATGATGAAAAAATTCCTAAAAATATACATTTTGAAAATATAAAAGTGGAAACTTGAAAATAAAACAAGTTAATTTGTTAATTGTTACAAGTTATATAACATGTGAAATGACACAAGATAATATAAAATTATTTATATTAATGATATATTTAATTAAATGACTTAAATTTCTAATAATAAATGATTTCACGAGATCACGAGTTGGTGCAATTAATACTCAACGTAGGCGAGAATACTGCATTTGTTAGATTAGTAATTCGTCAAGGAATCTCAATTAATTGCTTCGTTTCAATTTATATGATTTGTTTGAATTTTAAGAATTTTTTATTTTATTTTGATTGTGCATTTAGTCATATAATTTTAAAAAAAAATTAAAAATAATTTATATATTTAAAATTATATAAAAATACTATAATTCACAAGAATTAACAATTTAAAAGACGATTTTTTTTTGTTTAATTCTTTGAAATTTTGAATTATGTTATATTAAGTTGAGACTTGAGACAAATAAGTAGAAAGGAACCTTTTGGTTTGTAGGTCGGACATAGGAGTACTAACTACGTAAATGGCAAAAAACAGAATGCACGAAAATAAATAATTCAATTATCAAGCAAAACATGTTCACCTAGATAATCGAATATTTACGAAGCACGATATAGATGAGACAAGTTTCTCCATATGTTCTATATTTATTTATTTTTTTAAAAAATATATTAGATAGGAGATTGAAGAAATGGTGAGAATTTTTTTTAAAAAAATGAGGGCATGGGGAATCGAACGTTTAACGATAAGGTAAAAACTTAGGTACAAGTTCTTTGTCTATGAAATTGTTTCACTTCTTTTTTCTAGAGTTGAACTTTGGAAAGCACATTTAACTATAAACATCTGAAATTCAACTTGAGTGTGAAAAATAGAGTTCAAAAAATAACAAAAAGTATTTTTTCACTTTTTTCACTCATAAAAAAGTGAAAAACAACTCTAATTCATATCCATAATTAAGCACAATTTCAATTACCAAAATATCATTTTCAACTTTGAAAATAAAAATTATATTTTTTCAAATTTCACAATAAAACATGATCAAACGTCCACTAATAAGCTATACATAAAATTCGGAAACTTATGTCTCCACCTAGTGACTCAGCCATATACAATAAAAGAATGTCAATTGATTTTTGTTAAAAAATTATACTATACATATATAAAAACAATATACATATTTATACTTAAAAACTCTTTTAACGAAATTTCTAACTTCCCCGCCTCAACCCTCACCATAAGCATTGGATTTTAAGTATGAATAACTTTTATCAGCCACTTGTCATCAATCAACTTTCGATACATACGAAATGATGCAATTCGATCAAAAAAATCCCCACCTCTATATCTATCTATATTTCAGCAATAAGAATAATAATATATTCAGTAAAATTTCATCAAGTACGATATGGAGAAGATATAGTGTACATAAACCTTATTGCTATTTTATAGAGGTAAAGAGACGTTTTCGAAAGAAAGCATAACAGTTAATAAGAAAAACATTGATAAAAAAGATAGAAGCAATTTATTACCTGGTTAAGTTACAATCTGTGGGTTGCCATCTATACTTGAGATATGCTTTATCTGGTCTACCATTCTTTACACAATCAAATTGTTGAAGTAAAAATGGACAATTTTTGGCATTATAAAGTGGATAATTATAATCTATAACCCATTTTCCATCATATAAATCACAATTTGCACCCAATTTTTTGAAGGGAGGGTGTAGTAGCTTGTTATGTTTTGCTTCTACTAGAAAATCAACATTATTGATAAACAAAATAATGTTGATTATGAAGAAGCAATTATGAAAATTTATTAGAGGATTTTTCATGGTATGGAGAAGAAAAAAAGAAAAGGGAAAATGGGATAGTTATGTTGTAAGGTATAATGTAGGTGAAGGAGGATTTAAAGGGTGAGATTTGTGATGAAATTAATTAATAATTTACTGAGTCATTTGTTTAATTTAATTGTGATGAGAAGAAGAAGAAGAAGAAGAAGAAAAAATGAAAATGAGAAAAAGGGAGATTTTATTATTTTAATGACCACGTTCATTAATTGCTGAATATTCGGACTTAAATTGGCGGTTTATTTTGCTTTTTATACCTGTTCATAATCATGAGATTTACATACAAGGGGAATTTAAATTTACGGTTTTTATTGTGCCAAAAATTTATCATTTAATACTTTTTTTTTATGTTTATTTATTATATTTGGATTTGATATGATTGTTAATAAAATAATTATTGACATGGCTAGTTTGTTATGCTATTCTTATTATTAATTGATGTTTAGTATCAGATTTTGGAATTAATTAACTAATGCTAATGATAAAATATGAAAATGAATAATTATTTTTCTTGATATGTTAAAATTGAAAACTGAAAGTGAAAATCTATTTTTGAAATAATAGACAAATAAAAATGAACGAATGACTATTAAGTAACAAAAATTGCATGTTTGCTCAAATTTAAGAACAAAAGTAGGTGATGATATTGTGTCATAAATATACTTTTCATTAGTATTCTCTAGTTCATTTTTACTTATCTATTATTTCAAAAAATATTTTTATTTTTATATTATATATTAAGAAAATAGAATTAATTTTTTTCATGTTTTACTCTTAGTATTAATTACTTATTATCAAATTAGTTTCTAAAACCTAATATTAAACATTAATTTATAAGAATAGTGTGAGATATAGTAATGTCAATTTTATTTTTAAATGTAGGTGCCAAATTAAAATGTGAGAAATAAAAATAAATGGAGCAAATATTTACGAAGTGTAGTTAATTATAGTAAGGCACGTTCCCAAATAATAAGTAAAATATATCGCGTATTGTATGTTTATGTAATTTTAATATAATAATGAAATAGTGTAGACAGAAAATGAAGGCAATTTATTTTAAAGTCCTTTATAAATTAATTTTATATGTTTTTTTATAATTTTTTAAATTTTTATATGTAAATAAAAAATAGTTTATTCTCTAAATTATTGCATTAGGAATCTATCAAGCGGTGTCATTGGATCTGATAATTGCCGTCACTGTCAGAAAATATGAGGATTTAATTTTTAAAAATTTAAACTTATAAAAATTATTCCAGTATGAAAAATGACTAATCTTGATTAGTTGATTAGTCTTGACGTAACTTATTTTCAAATAGCAATCTTGGTTATTTGTGAATTTTACCTAGACGATATGTTTTCATAATTTATACTATAGTTTATACAAGTGGCTTCGAAGTTCCAACCAATTGGAAAATAAGGAACATTTATCATCATATTAGAAGCTTGGAATTGACATAACTTTGACTTGTATTTAACTAAAATTACTCGTAGGACGATCTTTAGGTAGTCTATATATTCTCGTAAAATAAAATTTCATACCCAAACGGTATATATAACTAGAACTTATAATCCATAAACGCCCAAAAAGGGCATCAAAACAGAACCAAACCACAACTTGCCCTGTTTCTCTTGAACTTCACTAATCGACCTCAATGTCTTGCCTTCAACATCTTCTAAAACCTCCAAAACTTGCCCGTCTTCGCTTAGCTTGATTGCGGTAGCGTGTGGCTGCCCTCCGGCTAACAAGTTGTCAAGTTGTTGCGCGGTGATCGGGAGCTTCAACAATGCCTTCCCGAGCTCTAAATCCGAAACACTCAATTGTGCAAATACTGATCTCTTAGCATGCAGAGCAACCCAAAATTCTCCTTTCGAATTCATTCTGATGTTGTCTGGAAATCCCGGTAACTCAGCAAATGTATCATGTTTTCCCTTGTAAGGACCTTTTAGCCAATATCTGAAAATTCTACCGGTAGAAGTTTCAGCTACGAGCACGAAGGACTTGTTTTTGCTCAGAGCTACACCATTTGCAAAAGCAAGGCCTCTTATTAAAATTTTGGTTTGTTGTGTGGATTTAACATATTTCATTAGCATGCCTGTCTTATCTCCACTTAAAAGAGAGGCGAAGAATTGCCTGCGTTGGTATCTTGTGCTTGTTTCCGTGAAGTAAATCACATCGTCATGATCATCAATATCAATGTCATTTGTGAAGACGAGAGGCTTACCATCGAATTTTTGGACTAATGGTGTAGCTAGTCCTCCTTTTGGTCCAACAACTTGGACCCCGAAATAGGCATCAGCAATGTATAAATCCCCTGTTTTGGTATCGAATCGTAAGCCTAATGGCCTTCCACATATATGCTCCAATTCAGGAGCAAATGGCAGGGTACAATTCTTCCTATGAGAAGAGGTAACTGCAAAATCAGACCAATATGATCCTTTCCACTTGAGAACTCGTCCATCGGCAACTCCTGTATAGGGGCCTTCTCCGTTTGGATTGAAAGCAATACTCTCCGGTCCAACTGCTCCTTTCAAATGAATGATTTCGGAATTTGTGAGGAGATTTTGGGAGCCTGGTATATGAGGTGGTTTCAAAACATTTTCGTTGTCAAATGCAAAAACTACTGAGATAATTGCTAGTGCTGTTGTTGCACTGATCAACAATAGATTTGAAGCATTCATGGAGACTGGAGAGTGTCTTTTGGTGATGAGATTATGTTGAAGTTTTCCTTGTTTTATACTTGTTTTAGAGTGGACTGACTTTTAAACATGGAAAAGTCACAAAGAGAATGACATAAAGAGTAGACAAAAAATGACTCACTCTATACTATTAATGGCTGAAAATGAACTTTTATAAAATGCTACTAAGTAGTCAAGAAGGGACGGCAGAGAAACTTGGGAAAGAAAAACGGGCGTTGATCAAGTAAAGGTTTAGTATTATTCGTCCACGTGGTTGTTTCTGGTGCAAAACAGAGAAATTGGAGATAAGACAAGGCTATGTTGCTCGGACTCTTTAAAAATATCAATAGGTACGTGAAGGGTACTCCAAAAGTAGTGCCTTTTTGGAGAATCTGACACGGGTATGGCAACATTTTGGAGAGTCCGAAGAAAGTTAGATCATTTCACATAGTTCATATATAAATTTGGTCTTTTTCCCCATATATATAACTTGAACACTCATGACATGAACATTTATGTATATACTCTTATATGGCTACTAATGTAGCATTACAAGTATAGCTCATAATCAATGGTGATTTACACTAGTGTCCATTAAAAAGCGTGCGAATACTTATACATCGTTCAAGTTGTATGGTAACTTCTGTTGCGAGTATATATTTTACACGTATATATTTGCCTTGATTGATTGCCATGTTTCTCAAAGTTTCGGGATTGCAATCTGTAAAAGTCCGTCCCTGCATTATTTTACACATGAAATTTCAGAAGTTTGTATGTAATGAAGTGTTTGTCTTGACTAAAAACATTAAGCATGATGATATATAGGTAAACGATTACAAAGATTGAGAACTTACACAAACTCAGCAGAGACGCGATCTTTATTAGCATTACTTGGAAGAGGCCAGAAAACTCGGTATGGTCCCTGAACAATCTCCTTTTTGTGATAGGCTGATACCAAGCCATTCAAGTATGATGCCAGTTTACACTGAGTTGAACGATTTCCAGAAACTATTAAGCTGTCAAGGACACAACACTCGTCTATTAGACCAACACAAATTGAACTCATCATTGCATAAGATGGAACTTTATAACACATGCTGATCTCACGTTATTATCTCGAAAGTCACCCTTCTTGATTCCAATTTTCCTTGACAAAGCTATTAGTTGAGTGCCTATACTAGAAATCAACTCCAGATTGTGGAACAAAAGACTAAAGGATAGTTGTATTTTATTTACCTTTTGTCACTGACTTCTACCTTTATATCACTTATATTGACACCGGGAAGTTCTATAGATACAACGTACATGCTTCCAGATTCTGCAACATCCATCCTAGGAGACCATTCACTCCCTGTATTAGCAAAAACAAAAGGGAATTTTTCAACATTCCGAAGAGTATGTACCTCTCAATTACGCGATCAAAAGTCACTACTGCAATACATTATTAATTCCAGCAACAACAAAAAAATGCCAATCAAAGTTAAGCATATGTTTACCGTTAGATTCAAGTTCATTTCTTCTTTCTTTCAATTGGAAATGAGGTGCTTCGTCAGTCCTTGTACGTGGCCTAGCAAATTTAGGAGCTTCTTCAGCAGTTCCATTGTGTTTGCAATCTTGTGTAGTATTATTTGCAGGTCTAGAAAACATTGGTCCTTCAAAGGCGCGAGAACTCTTTTTGGCATAATCGTTAGCCTTGAAAGACGAGGCGGATTCAGTACAGCTTCCCTGCCCCAAAGCAAGAAAATGAAAAAAGATAACACTGCAAAACGAATATCTCAAACTCATTGAAACTAAGTAATGACAATTCTATTACTAATTCACAGACCTGTTCACTTGAATTAGGCCTCATGAAACAAGCTTGAGAACTGGAACTTTGTCGTGCATAGTTCATTCTGTTGTCATACCTCGGAAATGCAGAATTCAAGCTACTGCTACAGCTCTAGATATTAAAGCAAGTGAAAATCCAAATATTACATAAGCAAATGAACACATATCAATAGAGTTCTTACATTTTTCGTAACTCAAAAACTAAAATTAAAAAAGATTAAGTGCTGAATTGATCAAAGGACAGAGAGATAGTTAAAAGAACAGGGGAAATGAATAGTTCTATCACTTAAAACACAACTTTTATTTTCGAATTAGCTCGTGACAAGTCCTACCATGCAGAAGTTCTGAATTTTCAATAAGACACCTTTGACCTTACTTTTAATAAACTACTATTCGTACATATTAAGTGAAATTTTAGACATAAATAGGGAATCTTGGCCAAAGCTACTTAGTTCTATCGAATCTGTAACTCCGCACCTGCTAACATTACTATGAGTACAGACACAGAAAGAAATTACCATAGGAAAGAGATGAGTAGCGGAGGCGGAAATATCATCATGTGCAGTTAAATGCGCAGTAATCATGTTAACTCTTCGCCTTACAATTTGACTCTCCATTGCTCCAAACAGAGTGAATATAATACAGAAAGTGTTTCTCTACTTGCTATGTGAATATTGAATAGATACAAATGCTCTTTAAGCTGGTGAAATTTAAGATAAAAAAGGAATTTGGATATGGTGATGACTGATGATTGATGACGTGTAGATTTTTTTTTTGGTGAAATTTAAGATAAAAAAGGAATTTGGATATGGTGATGACTGATGATTGATGACGTGTAGATTTTTTTTTTTTAGTGTGAAGTAAACTTTTTTGGTGGAAAAGATCTTTCATTCCACAAATATCGGCAATCAGATTAGATACTATTGGCACTTGCAGCAATATTTTGGAAACTCGAAAATATTTGAATTTTTATGAACAAACACATATTTGAAGATAATTTTTTAAAAATTATTTCCAAAATCTATTGTCAAATGCTAGCTTACTCTATTCTACTAAGATACATTTTTCTAAAGTTTGTTCTAAAAAGAATGATACACTTTAAAATTTGAAAAGACTCGCTATAAAAAAAATCACTATTTTTCATTAAAAATATCCATGGTTAATTTCACACTATTTTAATTAAATAGGTGACAAAAGATAAAATAAGAATATTTTTAAACAAAAAAAAAATTATGAAACTTTCACTATTTTAGTGAAAATTTATTTTCCACCATATATTTTTAGTGAAAAATGAATAGGAAAAAAAATATTTATAACATAATTTTTTCAATGATTCACAATGAAAAAAATCTTTGTTGTCAATAGTGAAATTAAGTTTATGTTTTCTCATTCCTAGATAACACTTTTGTGTTTCCTAATATACCTTTAACGTGAAGATCACAATCACAAAAAATTTATAACATAAATATTATGACACGGTTATATTACAATTTAAAAAATTATTTATTCTTATTTAAATTTCAATTCAAATTACATCATATAAATTAACGAGGACTCTGCTTGTAATATCCACTGTGTCAATCAAATTATTTGAGGTTCTTATAATAGGGGGATATAATAAGTCATGTAACAAGTGAAAAATATACTTGAAGACCAACTTCATACACGTGGCATAGTCTAGTGCCATAATAATAAATTCCTGGTCATCTTATTATCAAGAAGCTTGTTTAAAAATAGTATAACAAGTTGTAAGAAAAAAGAAAAAGAAAAACAAAGAGTAGATAATACTGTTATTAATTAAATTAGATTAGAAGGGTAACGACCAAGAAAAAAATAATCACATGATGACAAAAAGTTGATCAAATAATAACATTGACCCAATTTTTTAATTACGTTACGTCATTAATTACGATAACGAAGTTGTTCAGCATAAAATAATTCAGCTATTTGTTCTATGGAGAATTTCATTAGATTTTAATTAATATTCACTTTCGTCTCATATTAGTTAGCATTTATGTGTTCTTTAAAAAATTCATAAATAAAAAATAATTTTATTATTTGACCCATAACTCTCTTCAATACTTGCACTTTATTTAATAATAAGATTAATCTAATTTATTTTAAAAATATTTAATACTATAAATAAAATAAGATAAAAATAATTAATTTTATCTTGATTTTACAAAATGTCAAATAAATTGAAAGGAAGATTTTAATGACTATCTGAATTTTCACTTTGTTGATGAGAGTTCGATTTATCACCTCATAATCTCATAAAATGTGGGACCGGATGAGTATATTAATTATTATTAAAAGTGATTTCATTTGGTTAGTAGACTAAATGATAAGATTAAAAGACAATGTTGTCGGCTTAACTAATGCAATAAAAAGACACAAAAAATAGAAAATTAAGGATACATAGCATGTAGAAAACTTTGAATTTTCATCTAAGAGGAATAATTAGAGTCCTAATATTCTATAGTGAATATCCACTAACCTGTTTGCCACATACACTATAATTTCATAATCTAAGTAGTAAGTACTAACATGCATGCTTAATTAAATTATTAACACTAATCATCTAATGTTAATTCTTTGTTTTTTTCTCTTAATAAAATGAAACACCTTATTAGAAATCGAAAATAGTATCTTATCGAAAAGTTTGCATATGGCTAGTCTTTAAATAATATTCCTTTTTTTAAAAATTTTGTTACGAAAAAAGGCTTCATTTATTTATTACGCAATGCAAATGATTTATTTTGTTCTTTTCATTTCTATATAAGCTCATGTCCTTGTATTTTTCGCGTTTTCCATGCTCACACAATACAGAGTGTTATTTCTTTTTCAAGTAATTTCTACAAACTCATTAATGTGTTGTTTAACTTGATTTCACCAAATATTTATATTTTTTTAAAATTTGGATATGCATAAGTAGACACTTAAATTTGGATATGCACAAATAGACACTTAAATTTGTATAAAATTGAACAAATATGCACATTTGTCCTACGTGTCATAATACACATAGGGACGCCACTTAAGACAAAAAAATGTCATGTAGGACGCTACACCAGAGGAATGTATTTGTTTGTTCAATTTTATACATGTTTAAGTGTCTACTTGTGCACACTCAAAATTAGAGGGCATAGATGTCAGCTGAACCCAAGTTGAACAACACATTCATGTATTATATATTTTTTAACTTGATCTTATCTAGTATTTATGCCCTTCATTTTTGAGTATACAATTGTAACATTTAAATTTGTATAAAGTTGAACAAGTAGACACTAGACACACACATTTAATACATCTAGGACTCCACGTAAAATATCGTGTATGATGTGAACTATCACGTAAGGCGTATGTGTCTACTTCTTTTTTTTTAAGAAACATGAATATTTTATTGATAAATAGCTAGTACAATTTTGTTCCTCCCTTGATTTAAGACTGTTAATGATGTATTTCTCGAATTATGATGATTTGGACTTGATTTCTTTGTGAATATTTCATGAGTGTGCATCCACTTATTTTAACTCTAGACAAGTTTAAAAGTCTACTTGTACAAATTCAAAATTGAAGAACATATATATTAGATGAAACTAAGTTAAACAACATATTTATGAATTATGCCTAAAAATTATATTCATTTCTCATGTGATTACAGGTTGGCATCTCTTTGTGAAATAATGATTGAGATATAAACATATTAAATTCAGATCTCCATGAAATGTAAACAAAAAACGATTCTAAAATATATGAGAAGTGGGGTAGTGCACTCTATTAATAATAATAATAATAAAAAAATAATTATTAGAAGGGAAACAGAAGAACAGCCAGTCAAAATGGCAGCCTCTGTTTTAATTAAAATTAAAGAAAATAGAAGAAGTCATAAATGATGATACCTCTGACTTCACTATTCTACTCTCTCTTTATTATCTCTTCAAACTTGGAACGCTGAAAGCGAACCAAATTATAGTCAAAAGAAAAATTAACTAAAAGACCGTTGAATATTCCATGCCATAATAATTTGTTTGTGTTTCGATTTATTTATTTGATTCTAATTTGATTTTTTTTTTTAGAATTGTATAACTTTAAGCTAAAAATCTATAGAACATATTAAAATGTTACTTGAGGGTGTTTGAATTAACTTTCCCTAAGTAACTTATAAGTTAAAAACTAAAAATCATTAGTTAATCATATCCAACTTTTGACTTTTAATTTATTTTAACACTTTTTTGGCATAAAAGTGTGTGTTTAAAAGTATTTTTTGTCCTTTTTCAAACACTTTCAACAGTAAAAAAGTGCTTTATAATTAAAAACTACTTAAACATATCATGTGAAAAATTAATTGAAAATTATATATCAAAATATGAAGAAGAATAAAACATTCTTCTTGAACGTGCTAAAAAGAAAAGAAAGACAAATAATTCGAAACATAGGTAGTAAAAATCACTCTCACAATTGTTTTAATTTATGTGATATAATTTTCTTCTCGACGGTTAATTTAACTAATCTTCAAAATCAAAATGAATTAGAACAATTCTCTTTTTTAAAGAAAAAAAAATTAAGATTAAGTATTTAAAATTTATACAAAAAATACTAATTTCTTTTATTTTTATAATTTAAATCTCGAAAAACGAAAATAATTTCATACTCCCTCCGTCCTACTTCATATATCACCTTTTTACTTTGCACTTGCATTAAAAAATTATGTAACTTTACCCTTCTACCCTTATTTAATATTTTCTTAAGTCAATTTTATTACTAATAAATGACAAGATTAATTAACAATTCTATCAAGGGTATAATAGGCAAAATATAGTAGTTTATTCATAAATTTTATAAAATGACAAGTATTGTGGTTCAACTATTTATAGAAATAGATGACATATAAAATGGTACGAAAGGAGTATATACTTGGACAAAAAGGGAAATACACAAACTAAAAATTTTCCACTCTCCCCCAACTTGTTCAACAATCCACATTCAAAGTCAAGTCTTCTACCCTCTCTCAGTCAAGCTGAATAATGAAGAAACACTGTATTTCTCCTTTCCCCTTTTTATATACACTTATTTCCTTTTCAATTTCTTCCATACCCTGTCTTTTCTCATCTAAATCTTCTTTTATCATTTTCTTCCCCTTTCTCATTCAAACTCAAATTTATAATCTTCGCAATTCACACTAGATTTTATCTAATCCTTAAAAAAAAAAAAATAGTGCACGAGTGTACATGGTAAGCATAGTTATGGATAATTGTAATGAACGATCAAGTTCTTCTTCTCCGGCGCCTTTTTTGTTGAAGACTTATGAATTAGTTGATGATGCGTATACTGATCCTGTTGTTTCATGGAACCATAACGGACGTAGCTTCGTTGTTTGGAATCCACCTGAGTTCGCTAGAGACTTGCTTCCGAAATACTTTAAGCATAACAATTTCTCCAGTTTTATCAGACAACTTAATACTTATGTAAGTAAACCGTTCATTCATTTCATAAATATCTCGATTGAATTATCACCAAATGTTTATCGAAATATAGATAGTTGAGATATGAAACTTTCTGTTTTGATTTGTTATTTGACGGTATTTATTTATTTTTTTGTTCTATAGGGGTTTAGAAAGGTTGATCCTGAACAATGGGAGTTTGCGAACGAGGAGTTTTTAAGAGGGCAGAGGCATTTGTTGAAGAATATTTACAGACGAAAGCCGATCCATAGCCACTCTGCAACAGGGCAATCAGTGGCTCCATTGACGGATTCGGAGAGACATGAGTATGAAGATGAAATTGAGAGGCTGAAGAGAGAAAACAGTATGCTTCAGTCATCTGCGGAGAATCAAGAGAAATTTAATATGGAATATGAAAGTGGAATTAAGTCTATGGAGCAACGTTTACATAACGTTGCTCATAGACAGGGGAAATTGATTTCTCTTTTAGCTCAATTACTACAAAGACCTGGATTTTCATCTGATTTTATTCAATGCGCGAATAATAACAGTAAGAAGAGACGGTTGTTAGTATCGAATTACTTAACTGAGGAGGAAAATGCAGCTACTAACTCTGTAGTTGCACCAAAATTGGACTTGGAAATGGTTAAAAAGTTGGATTCTTCAATCAATTTTTGGGAGCGTTTTCTGTATGGTATTCGAATGAATCCAACAGAAGATCAAATATGTGATTTTGACCATACACAACCTTTACCTTCCCCAATTGTTATACGGGAAATGGATACCTCATCTGATGATTCTGGCAAACGAAACTCTCCTATCGATCATTCACCATCCTCCTCCGAGTTAGGAGGAGGACCTTTTAGTCCTGTCATTTCATCAATTTATGTCAATTTAGAATGTCAACTTAAGCCATCTGATCAGGTTAATCAGGTTGAGGGTAAGACCACTAAAACATCTGAATTGGTATCAAACTCGGGTAATGATGTATTTTGGCAACAGTTCTTAACAGAGACGCCTGGTTGCACTGAGCCACAAGAAGTTGAAAACAAAGGCATTAACGAATTAGCGTGTGATATTAGATTAGGGGATAACCATAGATATTGGTGGAATAGCGGAGTTAATGTAGAAAATCTTGCTGAACGGATGGGGCATCTTAGTAGTCCAGCAACAGGAAGCTGAGTTGATTCAGTATTTCCTTATTGACATTTTATAGCTATTGTTGTTGTTTTTTTCTTCTAGTTTTGATTATCTCAGATGTCACATTGGAGCACTTGTTGGTTTGTTGTTGTAATACTAAGTAACAGTTAAGAGTTCCATGTACTGAGATCATTCACTAGAAGTTAAATATTAAGTACCACTTTTTGTGGAACTTTTAGTGTAGACTTTGCTTGTAATTATCAGAGTTTTAGTAAGATATTTATATATATATATATATATTAATGATAGAAGATTAGTGATATTGAACAATATTGAGTTAAAGTTTAATTTTGTTTAGGTTTAATAATAAAGCAAAGGAAATTGACAGGCTATTCTTTCTTTTCTCTATTGAACTATGGAAATCACTTTATAGTAGTAACACGAATTCACCACAACATATGCCTTTTTGGTTGTTATGATTGGCAAGAATTGCATAGGTTTTTTCAGTGCACTGTTTCTTACAATGAATATCCTTTGTATAAGTTATAATTCATCTAAGGAAGAGCTTTTCCAGAGTAAAATCCTATGGACTACAAGCAAGACAAAGAATCTCGTCTTGCAACAACAACTGATTAAAGAGTAGATGGTCAAAAGGGCCTTTCACTCAAAGCTTTTGACTCAACTCGAGACGACCAAGGAAGTATGCATGAAAATATGATTAACCCCCGCGACAAGCATTATCCGGGAATGATTATCCAGAAATTGGAAGATGGTTGGCGTGACACACCTAAATCTCCACAATCAATCCATAAGGCTTTAGGTGCCTAGAACAACCTTTGAAGTCGCTTAGCATTATACACCATTTCCTAATTGATTAATAGAATGTTTGGCCAAACTTTTAAAAAGCTAGAAGTGTTTATTTGAGAGAATGCAGGACCAAAAGCACACAATTAATTAAATCACAGACTAAATATGCTAGAGTAGATATTACAAGGTCTGAAATCAAATTTATCGATAATTCAGGGACTAAAAGTATACTTTTTCCAATTCTATCATTAGACTCATTTTTTTTTTTTTTTCATGTATCAAGAAATTTAAAGCACTATGGTTTATGGAATTAAACAGTTGCTTACCACCACTTCTTTTAAAGTATATAATAAAAATTATTTTAGGAAATTTTACTGTAAAATTAAGGATCATTATTGGCAACATATTCCATTCATTCATTTTAAAAAAAGTGACTGATAACTTATATAAGGAATAAAAGAATAAAAATATCATTGCAATAATTCAACTTATTGACCTTCTACGCAAGCAAATTAGAGTTATGCCAAAAGAATTATTGAAACATTTCCTAAGCAAATCAAACATATAGTTACAAGATATAGAAACTTACGGTTTTAGACAAACTTATCAAATATTTTTATAAAATAGTTTTAAAAAAAAAAAATCATTTACAGGAGCAATCAAGATTTTTTTCTAAAATAATTGAAGTCTTCTTGGTTCCACAAAAATGTTTGACCAATTTTTTAACTTTTTTTTAAAGAACAAAATTTTTTATAACCATTAAATTAATGGTCATTGTCTTTTTTATGTCAATATTCGTGAGCGGCTGCTATGTGCAAATGACTCATTTATTGAGAGTCAAAGTAGTTGTGGCAAGAATACCATTAATATAAAGAAATATAATTAATATAGATATATAACTTATCATATCATAAATTTAAATTATTAATTTATCTGACACATGACTACTTTTTCTTCTATAATAATATTTTATTAATATATAATTACATTTATTAGTTTTCCTGGGGTCATATTTTTCTGGTCAATTTTATAAAGAATTTGTTTAGGACTTTATTGATTTTTTTTTCTTCAAAATAGTCAGTTAAAAACTCAAAGATATCCTTGAGTTTTCAAATGGAACACTAATAATTCTTTATGTTTGTAATATTGATGCACTTTTAGTCCTCTCCCAAATTTTACCTATTTTTAACATTGCTTTTGTAAGGAATTTTATGTTTGAAATGTTCAATCATCTTTTTATATATTTAAAAATAATAATAACTCCATGTAAGAGAAGGTGAGAAAAGAACAATTTATTCTATTCAGTAGAAATATAATTGAAACTAAATTAAGGACCCGTTTGGCCATAGGTTTTCCAAGTAGTATTTGGGGGAAAATTTGGCACATAGTGTTTCTCCATACAATTTGTCATTATTTGGCAAATATCTCAAATTTTCAAATACTAGTTTTTTCTAGTATTTGGGCTAAATCTCATTATTTGGGATCTTTTAAAAATTGATATTTTACACCAAACTTTTATCTTTTACAAAAACACCATCTATAGTAGTTGTTTGCATTATATTACATAATTTTTTACGTGAACATTAAAATAATGATGAAATATTCAGTGAATATGAAAGTGATGATATGGTTGTTGTTGGTCAGCATTTTAATATTATATTATATTCTACCTTGGAATGGCCACATTAACTATTTTTATTTGTCTATTCGTTGGAGCATCTACTAGATCATTGCTTGCAATGGATAAACATTTGTGCCTTAGTGGATAATTAATAACCAAAGGCATTATTGCATTAGCCTTTGTGATAAACATTTATGTGAACGTTGGAAAGTTGGCCGTTGTGCCAATGCACGTTAGAGACATTGGTTACCCCTCTCATTATTCCATTCTTAATTCCTCCATTATCCTTCTAACCTATGTAACTCCTAAGACCATTAACTTCACTATTTACTACACAATTATCTTCTTATTCATTGTTAGGAAGACTTCTTCTAGTATAAATAGTGGTGGTCTTCATTTGGTTTGGTACATACAATACAACAAGAAAATATAGAGTGCATAAGGTTTGTCAAAAAGAGAGTTCTTATTAGTTGAAGGGAGATGTTTCTTTTTGTGGAGCGTTGGACTCAACTCTTGTCCAGAGTTGTTGAGTTATATTTTGTGATTAGGTTGTTGTATCCTGGAGGGGACAAGTCAAGAAGGACTACTGCTGGACCGGTGAAAACATTTGCTGCAGTGGGCTTGAATCTCCTTAAAGAGAGCGAGATATCCGCGCTTCAGCCTTAAGAGATTTATTTCTTCATTTTTATTTTCAATTGTAATCTTGTATTTTTGTTATCTTGTAAGTTTTCACTAACAATTTTAAGAAGATTCACCATGGCAACAATTGAAAAAACCGCGGATGTCAAGATGGGAGACCTTAACAAGCCATTTCGGTTCAATGGTAACCATTTTAAGAGATTGAAGGGTAAAGTACTTTTCTACTTGAGTCTTCTCAATGTTTCTTAAGTGTTAACTGAGAAGATTCCTAATAAAGTAGACATCACCTCTATGAATGATGATGAAACTATTTCTCATCTAGAGAAAGTGGAAAAGTACGATGGTGATTCCTATAAGTGTCGGTATTATATTCTTAATTGTCTATCTGATAATTTTTATGATTATTATGATAGAACTTACTCTAGTGCAAAGAAAATTTGGAAAGCGTTGCAGAGTAAGTATGATACCGAAGAGGCTGGAGCGAAAAAATATGCGGCTAGTAGATTTTTTCGTTTCCAAATGGTGGACAACAAATCAGTGGTAGACCAAGCTCAAGACTTTATAATGATTGTTGGAGAGCTAAGGTCCGAGGAGGTAAAAATTGGAGATAACCTTATTGTTTGTGGCATAGTAGATAAACTTCCACCTTCTTGGAAGGAATTTCAAAAAACTATGCGCCACAAACAAAAGGAAACCTCTCTTGAAACCTTGATAATGAAAATCCGCATGGAAGAAGAGGCAATGGGCCAAGATGCACTTTTACAAACAGAAGAGAACAACATCACAACGAAGGTAAATTTAATTACTTCAAATAATGCTACTCTTGAAACTCACAAAAATACTTCTTTGAAGCCTAAGAAGAAAAAAATTCAAGAAAAATAATGGTAGACCTCCCAAGAAAAATAATGGTGAAAATAACCAAGCACAAAATCAACAAGTTCAAGACAAGGGACCATGCTTTGTTTGTGGCAAGAGTGGGCATATTGCTCGATTTTGCAGATTTCGAAAACGTGGTCCTAACCCTCAGGCAAACGTTACCGAGGAACCTTTTGTGGCGATGATTACCGACATAAACATGGTTGAGAATGTTGATGGATGGTGGGCTGATTCTGGTGCAAACCGTCATGTCTGTTATGACAAAGACTGGTTTAAGAAATATAATCATTTTGAGGAGCCCAAAACCATCATGCTTGGTGATGCTCACACTACTCAAGTGCTTGGAACGGGAGATGTCGAATTGTGTTTTACTTTTGGAAGGGTGTTAACTTTAAAAGATGTACTTTATACTCCTTCTATGAGGAAAAATTTGATGTCTAGTTTTCTTCTTAATAAAGCAGGCTTTAAACAGATTATTGAGTCTAATCAATATGTAATAGTGAAGAAGGGTATTTTTGTGGGAAAGGGATATACATGTGATGGGATGTTCAAACTGAATATTGAAATGAATAAAGCTTCTACTTCTGTTTACATGCTTTCTTCTACCAATTTTAGGCATGCTCGTTTGTGTCAAATTAATGACCGTTATGTTGGAATCATGAGTAGTTTAGGATTAATCCAAATGGTTAAAAAGAATTTTGAAAAATGTGAGGCTTGTAGTAAAGCCAAAATCACTAAAATGCCTCATTTTCAAGTTGAAAGAAAAACTGATTTGTTAGAATTAGTTCATACTGATATTTGTGAACTTGGTGGAATTTTAACTCGTGGAGGTAATAGATATTTTATCACTTTCATTGATGATTTTTCTAAGTTTACATATGTTTACTTGATGAAAAATAAAAGTGATGCTTTTGAAAATTTCAAAACATATCTCCATGAGGTTGAAAATCAGTTTAGAAGAAAAATAAAAAGAATTAGAAGTGATAGAGGCCGTGAATATGAGTCAAATGTGTTTAATTCTTTTGTTAGATCATTGGGAATAATTCATGAAACTACTCCTCCTTACTCTCCTTCATCTAATGGAGTAGCGGAAAGGAAAAATAGAACTTTGATTGAATTGACTAATGTCATG